GTTAAACGCCCGCACTAAGAGACAACGTTCTCAACAAATTGATCAGCTTATGACTTCCATTCGCTCCAATGAAAAACTAAACAAACAGAATCCAAACCCCGATATAACAGTGACCCTAAACTCAGACAGCAATAAATTACGTACCATTTTACTCCACGCATACAACACTAACCTACAAAAAACAAAAGCTAAATTCTATGCGCTCGGTAACAAGGCAAATTCACTCCTTAGTAAAACTATCAAACAAAAACGTCTTAAAACCAAAATATCCACATTCCGACATCCTGCTTCGCACAACACTCTGGCAAACCCACAGGATATCGCAAATGCTTTTGCGGTCTACTATCAGACACTATATAACCTAAAAGATGATGCCAATACAACCCAACCCACGACTTATTCAATAGAACAATTTCTATGTAACATTAACCTCCCACGCATAACCCCGTCTCAACTTGAATCCATCTCTATACCGATTTCTTCGGCGGAGATTGAAAAAATCATACGCACCCTTCCTCTGAATAAATCACCAGGAAACGATGGCTTCACTAATGAATACTACAAAGCCTTTGCCCCTGACCTCTCTCCGCACCTATCCCCCCTGTACAACCATGTTGCTACCTGTGGCGCATTCCCCCAAGACATGCTGCAGTCGATAATTACCACCATCCCGAAACCAGGAAAGGACCCTCAACTGGTACAAAATTACAGACCAATTTCGCTCCTTAATACAGATATAAAGATATACGCTAAGATAATCTCCCTAAAACTAATCCCTTACCTACCGACTTTAATCCATCCTGACCAGGTAGGATTTATCCCTGGTAGACAGGCCCCTGATGCCACCAGACGGATTATATCCCTGATACACCACCTTGAATTAGATACCCAACCTTCGCTCTTGCTATCGCTTGATGCAGAAAAAGCGTTTGACCGAATCCACTGGAAGTTTATGACACATACACTCCAAAAATTTGGAATATCTGACTGGATGCTATCGGCCATTTTTTGTCCCTTTATTCCAAGCCATCGGCCAGAGTCCTAACTGACGGCACACTTTCTCAACCCTTCTACATTTCTAACGGAACTAGACAAGGCTGCCCGCTATCCCCTATAATTTTTTTGCGCTACTCATTGAACCATTAGCAACCACCCTTAGAAACGACCCCAAGTTCACGGGAATTAGATGCCTAAAATCCGAACACAAGATCAGTCTATTTGCTGACGACATTATCCTAATGGTCACTAATCCATACAACTCCCTCAAAACCATACGAACGCATATTCAAAACTACACATCTGTATCTTACTACAAACTCAATGAACCGAAATCTTCTATTCTGAATCTACACACACCTGAGGTCACCCAAAATCTAATCTCCAAACACTTCCCCTTCACATGGGAAAAACTTAGCATCCCATACCTGGGAATCAAACTGACTCCAAAGACTAACCAACTATATACCGCTAATTTGAAACCACTACTTGAATCTATTCCGCAAGAGATTAAAGGTCTACGCACCACTACTCTCTCGACGCTAGGCAGATTGGCGACAGTTAAAACGTGTATCTTACCCAAGATACTTTACATCTTTCGCACGCTCCCTATACCAGTTCCTCACATCTTTTTTACAAAACTTCAGGCAATATTGAACAAATTCCTTTGGAATTTGAAAAAGCCTAGATATGCTACAAATCTCCTAATCCGCCCATCCTCCAGAGGCGGAGCGGGACTCCCACATATGAAATCCTATTACCTTGCCACTTTACTTGACCAGCTTTTCTTTTGGTGGCAGCCCACATTCAACAAAACCTGGACTCTTCTGGAAACTTCCTTATTCCTACTGCACACCTTGTCAGACTTATTATTCATACCTCGAGGGGCACACATTACGCATTTACATAGTCACCCTTGCATATTAGCCTCTCTAACAGCTTGGTATGACTTTATTTCTCATACCCAACTACGTAAGGACAATCTTCAAATTCTCACTCCGCTTTCGTCCCTACACTTCCTCTCTCCTCATTTAAACTTACATTTATGGAATGACCATGGATTACTCTACATACAAAACCTGTACACCAACAATACACTACATTCCTTTCAGACTATTAGAGAAAAATACCAAATCCCAGCTACTGAATACTTTACCTATATACGTATAACCCATTCCCTCTATAAGGCGAATGTACCATGTAGTATTAAAATCCCAGCGACTACACAGCATTTCTTACAAAAACCAACCTATCCAAAAAAAGGCATTTCATCGTTCTACAAGCTCCTAGTTGAATCACAATTTAATACACACACATCGTCCATAGCAAACTGGGAAAAAGCAATTCAACAACCCATATCTCTGAGCACTTGGGAAAAAACTTTTACCATTACTTACAAATCTTCAAAGTGCAGTTCGCACTGGGAATCATATCTGAAAGTACTCCATCAAGGGTACTTAACTCCTGTCAAATTAGCCCTATTCTATCCTCAACATTCACAATCCTGCTGGAGACATTGTGGGGAATCATGTACTCTCACGCACTTATTGTGGGCGTGTAGGTCCCTGACTTCCTATTGGAACCAAGTTTTTCAAATAATCTCCTCCATTACAAAGACGCCAATAACCCCAAACCAGGCTCTAGCGCTCCTCCATATTGGAATAGACAAAATTCCATTGCCCTCACGCACCATCACTATACATATTCTGTCAGCTGCAAAGCTCAATATCACCAGACTATGGCGATCTACTAACACTCCCTCTTTGTCCCGACTACTGTCCGATCTTAACTTCCTATGTGAAATGGAGAGGAGAACAGCCCTCCATAACTTCTCATACCACAAATTTGAGACTCAATGGACCCGATGGTTACACAACCCCAACTGTTCAATAAAATGATTATATAATATTCGACCACACTACACGATTATGACATTCTAGGTGCCTCTACCCCCTCCTCCCCCCCCTCTTTTCCCTTCCTAATTTCTCCTTTAATGTTCATACCACAATTCAATAAGGTGCACTAAATTGAGCATACCTCTCATGTAGCTGAACCAAGATTTTGCAAGGTACTTCGGCCGGATGGCGAGGTACCACTACCCCATTTTACCCTACCTATACAAGATTTTGTATTAAATGTGCACCTCTCTATACTAATGTTTTCAATTATTTTGTATGTTTCAAATTTTCCAATAAAAAATAATTAAATATAAATATTCTCTTTTTTGTGCCTTCACTTTATGTTAAGATCTCTTAAGGGGTTTCTTACTGTAACCCTGGGCTAGTAATATATCTCTTAGTACTTTAGCTTCAATATCAAATTCAATATCTCTGATACAGTTTCTATGTAGTCTCAAATATTGGCTATAGGGTATGCTTCTTATTAGAGGGGCAGAATGAGCACTGGTTGTTTGTAATATTGTATTGCCAGCCATCTTTTTGCAATACAGCGTGGTATACAGAGACCCATCAGAGTTCACCAGAATGTATAGATCTAGAAAGGGAATTTGCTGCTGCCTTGTCTGCATAGTGAATTTTAAATTGAAATCATTGTTGAATATGTAGGACATGAAATCTAATAGCTTATCATAGGTAGCTGTTCAAATAATGAGGATATCATCAATGTACCTGCGCCAAAGCAAAATATGGCACAGGTACATCGATGAGGCATCACTGGAAAATAAAGCCCTTTCCCATCCTCTTAGGTACAGGTTAGTGTACAATGGGGCACAACATGCCTCCATCGCCACTCCCTGAACCTGAAGGAAGGCCACTGTGTCAAAAAGAAAAATATTTGACGTGAGAATATGGTATAGTAGGCTACAAATAAAGTCACTGTATGGCCAATAGGAAGTGTCCTGCTCTTATAGGAACTTGTGTATTGTGTCCACTTCCTTCCTGTGTGATATGTGAGAATAGGGTGCCTATTTATTTCTCATTGATATAGAGGCACTGATGAGAATTATCATATCTTCCACTATTTTAAGTAAATCAATGGTATCCTTGATATAGGAAGGGAGTCTGGTGACATGAGTCCGCAAATATACATCTACTAACCTGGTGGTTTATGTACATTCTTATGCACTTTAGGCAAGGCATAAAATGTGGGAGTCCTAGGCCATTTAACATCTAGATATTCAATTGTATCCTTATCAATCAGTTGATCATGATATGCTCTTAACATGATTGACTTGTACCACATACTCATTTCATCCAGCAATGTAAAATGGAACCTGCTTATACCATTACTTATTACATAATATGTCCTGACACATACCAACATATTGATCCTTATTCATGATGAACATGTTGCCCCCCTTGTCGGAGGTCTTTGCCAAAATTTGTGTATTGTCCCTAAGTAAACAAAGGGCTTTTTGTCGTGATGATGTGAGATTAGAAGCAAAACCCCCTTGTAGGGAGAGTTTTTCAGTATCCTTAAGGGTGTGCTTTAGGAAAGAACAGATGGAGGGATTGGACTTAAGATGTGGACTTTTTTTGGATTTGGCCTTATATTTAAGAGGCAAGTTCTAAATCAGTTCTATTTCAGCACCAGAGGAAGAATCATCCATGTCCACAGGTTTGGGGAATGGACCACTCTCAATCCGACACAGTATTTCCATTGAACTGAAAAAATTCAGACAGATCTTGTGTTAATTGATCTTTAACCACTAGCCTACAGGGCACTTATACCCCCTTCCTGCCCAGGCCAATTTCCAGCTTTCAGCGCTGTCACACTTTGAATGACAACTGCACGGTCATGCAACACTGTACCCATATGAAATTTTTATCATTTTTTTGAGACAGATAGAGCTTTCTTTTGGTGGTATTTAATCACCTCTGGGTTTTTTATTTTTCTTAAACCAAAAACCACTGAAAATTTTGAAAACAAAAATGTTTTTTCTTAGTTTTTGTTATAAAAATTTTTTAAATAAGTGATTTTTTCTCCTTCGCTGATATGCGCTAATGAGGCTGCACTGATGGGCACTGATAGGCTGCACTGATGCTCACTGATGAGGAAACACTGGTATGTGGCACTGATGGGCATTGACAGGCATCACTGATGGGCACTGAGAGGCAGCACTCATACACGGCACTGATAGGCAGCACTGATAGGTGACACTGATAGGTGGCACTGACTGGTACTGATAGGCAGTACTGACTGGCACTGTTAGGTGGCACCGACGGGCGCTGTTAGGCGGCACTGACAGGCAACACTGACAGGCACTGATATGCAGCACTGATGCACACTGATAGGCGGCACTGACTGGCACTGATAGGCGGCACTGACTGGCACTGATAGGTGGCACTGATTGGCAGCACTGATAGGTTGCACTGACTGGCATTCATAGGTGGCACTGACTGGCACTGATGGGTGACACTGAAAGGCAGCTCAGATGGGCAATGATATGTGACATTGATGTGGCACTGATGGGCACTGAAATGTGGCACTGATGGGCACTGGCACGTGGCATGGGTGAGCACTGACAGCTGACACTGATGGACACTGACAGGTGGCACAGCTGGGGCTACACAGATCATCAGGGCACACTGATCATCAGTGCTCTGATGATCTGTGTACATGTCCCCAATGAGGAATGCCGATTACCAGCTCTACAGCTCATGAGGAGAGAAATGCTGATAACCGGAATTTCCCTGTTTACATGTGATCAGCTGTGATTGGTCACAGCTGATCACATGACCGAGCCGACATCTTCGACTCTTTCCATTGATCGGTGATCCGCTATGTCCGACGGACACAACGCACTGCCAATCGCCACACTGCGCGCTCCTGGAGCCACGCATGTGCGGTTAGAATGGGAGGACATCATATGACGTCCTCCCAGAACGAGAGAACCGCCTTGCATCCGTCATTTTACTATTTGGCGGGCGGGAGGCTGTTAAAGTGAGACATCCAAATCTTTAGATTTAGGCGTTCCAATCACCTCCATGGCCACAGGTATATAAAATCAAACACCTGGGCATGCAGACTGCTTCTACAAACATTTGTGAAAGAATGAGTCGCTCTCAGGAGCTCAGTGAATTCAAGCATGGTACCGTGATACAATATACTAAAAATGCAGCGCTATAAAAAAAATGAATCGATAAATATTAGTAATAAAAGTGAATAAATTATAAAAGGTGAGTGCCAATACAGCACTTATAAGGTGATAAGGTGATAAATCGGCTCTTAATGACGTAATAAATGAATAGATATAAAATCAATATACAAAGTGACTATAGTACATCATAGGTATAACAATGCAAATCAAGTTCATAAAGTTGGCTGATCCATATTCCATGCTGGTTATCCTAAATGGTGAGGGCTGGTAATATGAGTGCACTCACCAGAAGCGCACGTGATATGCGCATATACATAAGTATTCAACAGTGGTCATCAGGGACTGGGCAGGGGCTGCGGGGTCATCAGGCACATTCAAGGCACAAAAGTTAACTCCACTCCCTCACAGGGCACACTCAGCTCCTAGGGACAGCTCACTGTTGTCATCAGACCATCCAAACAGGAATACCACAGGGACAACTCCTCATAGGTATTGGACCACCAGGACAGAAACAACAGAACTTGGGGGATATCGCCACCTTAAGGGGCTCACACAATATGAGCCAGAGACAGATAGGTGCTAATAGTGTAGTATTTCTTTATTCGAGTAGCAGTAAAATATGATAGGAAAGCACTCACATTTGCAATAAGAACAGGTACATGTAAAATGGCCACTGTCCTTCCTGACGGCCGTGTGCGGTGTGACGTCATTCTGGTAGGCTCCTCTGGCCGTCACCTTATCATCTTATAAGCACTGTATTGGCGCTCACCTTTTATGATTTATTCGCTTTTATTATTCATATTTATTGATTTGTTTATTTATAGCGCTGCATTGTTAGTATATGGTATGATTTGGAGGTCTTTAAGTTTACCTTTAATGCTAGCTGCTCTATATTTTTGCGCTCGCCTAAATTTCTGATTTTACTCAATGGTACCGTGAAAGGTTGCCACCTGTGCAATAAGTCCATCCATTAACTTTTCTTGCTACTAAATATTCCATGGTCAACTGTTAGTGGTTAGTGGTTGTGGGAACAACAGCAACAGGCTATGTAAAATGACAGAGCTGGGTTAGCACATGCTGAAGTGCACAGTGTGCAGAAGTCGCCAACTGTCTGCAGAGTCAATAGCTAAAGACCTCTAAACTTCATGTGGCCTTCAGATTAGCACAATAACAGTGCATAGAGGGCACTGGGTTTTCATGGCCAAGCAAGTGTATTCAAGCCTTACATCACCATGTGCAATGCAAAGCGTCAGATGCAGTGGTATAAAGCACGCCGCCACTGTGAAGTGATGAAATCCAATGGACGTGTCTGGGTTTGGCAGTTGCCGGGAGAATGGTGCTTTCCTGACTGCATTGTGCCAAGTGTAAAGTTTGATGGAGGGGGTTTATGATGTAGAGTTGTTTTTCAGGGGTTAGGCTTAGCCCCTTATTTCCAGTGAAGGGAACTCTTAAGGTGCCAGCATACCAAGATATTTTGGACAATTTCATGCTTCCAGCTTTATGGGAATAGTTTGGGGATGCCCCCTTCCTGTTCCAACATGACAGCACACCACTGCACAAAGCAAGGTCCATAAAGACATGGATGAGCAAGTTTGGGGTGGAACTTGACTGGCCTGCTCCGATAGCACACCTTTGGGATGAATTAGAGCGGAAACTGTGTGCCAGGCCTTCTTGTCCAACTGCAGTGCCTTACCTCACAAATGTTCATCTGGAAAAATGGTCAAGCATTCCCATAGACACACTTCTAACCCTTGTGGACAGCCTTCCCAGAAGAGTTGAAGCTGTTATAGCTGCAAAGGGTGGGCCAACTCAATATTAAACCCTACTGACTAAGACTGGGATGTCGTTAAGGTTCATGTGTGTAAAAGGGCAGGTGTCCAAATACTTTTTCCAATATAGTATATATATATAAAAAGCTGCTAAGGGGTTTAGAGAGGTTGGGATGGAGTTTGCAGGGAGGAAGGGGGGTTCAGCAAGAGACAGAGAGTAGTATGGCTGTGCAAGGGAGGACAAGTAGACTATACTCCCAGATTAGACAGAAAATTGATCACACTTGGATCAATGTGCTTCTATGACTAGTTTGGTCAATGCATAGAGAACAGGATACATTTTAACATAAGTGCATGGTATAACAGACACATATCAGGAATTAAAAAAAATGTTGGGGTAACAAACACCTTTAAGATTTCCCCCTGAGGACTTCTTAATATGGTGAAAATCTAACACACCATTCTGCTGCTTATCTCTAACAACTCAACAACTCTGAATGGTCAGTTCTCTGTCCCGTCCCCCCCCCCAACATCATTCCCCAGCAGTATGTTTGTAATCCTTCCTTCCTGTCCTTGTCCTACCCCAACAGAATGCTTTTCTGCATGCTCTGTCCTCCCGGTTTTATCCTTTAATATCATAAATCTCCACACCCAGCTGTGAGTCATTCCCTTTCAAAAATGTACACTTTCAGGTGTCTGTGTTTGCTGTGGTCAAAAAACTCTCCTCCTGGATCACTCACCTGGTGCTATAGTACTACAATGCCTCCAATTATACTGTACATGCATCCTTTACATTGTTTTTCAATAGAGGCATTCATAATTTTTCAATGGGTTTGAATGGTAAGTCATTATTAATTGCCTTTTTATTACTTTTATATTATAATGGCCACAATTAATGTGATTGCTTTATGCGTGAGGTTGAAATAGCCATATATATAACTTTTCTACACATTGGGGTTGATTTACTATAATTGGAGAGTGCAAAATCTGGTGCAGCTCTGCATAGAATCCAGCTTCCAGGTTTAATTGTCAAATCTTAATTAAACAAGCTGAAGTTAGAAGCTGATTGGCTACCATGCACAGCTGCATCAAATTCTGACTGCTCAAAGTTTAGTAAATCGACCCCATTGTTACAATAATGGAAAAATAAGGCATTCTAATGATTTTAGGTTCATGTGATTTTTAATGTGTTGTAATAAAGTTTGTGTATTTAGATTGTTTTTTCTCCTGGTGATTTGCATAAATAATCATCTTTTTCTACATAGTTGAGCTATCCTACATGACAGAAGGCTTGCCATTTGCAGTATTCTGTTGGCTTAGATAGCTTTGATGGTATAAAGCTTTACAGTATTTTTTTTTCATAGATTCCATTAGATTACATTTTCACCACTGTTTCTATTCCCTCTTGTTTCCTAATATGTACTTTAAGTAATTATTTTATGTGAGATAAACAATTCCACACCAATGCAATATTTTGTTGTGTGAATTGAAGGATTTTATGGGAACATTGTAGAGATAAAATAAGGAACACAGTGAAAGTAACTCTCAGCTTGGATATTGACCCTTTTGTTATAAAAAAAAAAACGGTGCTAAAAGCAGTTATAATGTGCAATAATCCATGAGAGCCATTCATATGGCAGTTTGTTAAAGCCATATTGGTGAAAATAAATTTTGACTTGATATATTGAGTTGCTTTGTATATTACTCCTTACTTTATTGAATGAGCTCAGTAAATAGATAAATTTTTTAAAAAATGGGAATAAAAGAGTGACTATAAACCCATGAAGTTGTTTTTTATATTACTTATGACAAAAAGTTTAAGTACTCTGATATACAATAGTCCATCCGAAACACATCTTACCTAAAACAGCATCTATATACTGTATATTTACTAAAGAAAATTTACTAAATGTTTACTAGAAATGCTGTCACAAAGTATATAAATATATTTTAAAAATTAGAGATGGAGATATAGAGAGAACAGATAACAATGTTTTGTTTTTGTTTTTTTGGAAAATGTCAAGGGGTGTTAGCACATCCTTATAAAACATTAATTTATAGCCAACATGTGTTCATAACAACAAATGCGAATTATATTTGTTCATGTATGGAACTGTGATGGATATATACAATATATTCATCAATTCCACAGAGGTACTCATGTGTACTATTACAAACACATTCATCCTACAAGCAATCATTCAAACATGAATATGTGACAAATATGGTGCTCACATATGACACATACATCACTGATCTCAAAACGATATCCCTGCCTAGCTGAGGAAATATGACAGTGCATTCATGTGTCTCTGTATTAAAGTGCTCGTTTATCTTCAACATATTATTTGCTTGATTGGAAACCAAAAATGGCAGGTGTGTTAGAACTTTGTTTATTTCTCTACCTAAGAAGCAAGAGAAACTTTCAAGGTTGGGCCAATTATTACAGGGTGTTTTGTACAAACATTTCTGTATTTTAGTGTTTCCAGTAGCCTGTACATTTTTACTTTTCTAAATCAACTGAAAATTATTGCATGCTGTAAATGTACCTTTATTTTCAAAGTAATCAATGTTTTGTTGGCATATCTTAAAATTACTAAACAATGAACAATTGTTTTTTTAAGACAGCTAAGGCAAATTTGTGGCAGCAAGTATTGTTAGGAGCAGTTTGCAATGTAATAGAGTTTCCTCTGCTGGATTGCGTATCCTTGC